AGCTGGAAACCATCATTCTCAGCAAACTAACACAGGAACAGAAAACCAAACACCACGTGTTTTCACCCATAAGTGAGAGGTGAACAATAAGAACACATGGACACAGGGCGGGGAACAACACACACCAGAGCCTGCCTGGTGGTGAGGGGATAGGGGAAGGATAGCAGTATGAGAAATATCTAATGTAGATGATGGGTGCAGCAAACCAACATGGCACACGTATACCCGTGTTCTGCACATCTATCCTAGAACTTAAAGTATATATTTTTTAAAAGGATATTTAAAAAAAAAAAAAAAGAATGCACTCATCAAGAGGTCTGGGCCCCATAGACCATTTCCAAAACAATTCTACTCTTGTTTCACTCAAGCTCCGAGTCTATTACTAGAGCCACAGTTCAAAGCAAACAAAATTGGCGATGTGTTAGTCATATTGAAGATGCAGGAAAAGGCCACTTGAAATTGTCTTCTGAACTGGGCATGATTTTTAATGAATGCGCTCAGGAGTTGAGAGACTTGAGCTATCAGAAATGTGCTTTTAATATGCTTATTGGTAACTGCAGGCTACCACAGAGATATGCCAGGCACAAGGAATGCAGCATGTAAAGTCCTACCATCTGACCACCAGTTGCTAACATTGGTTATCTGTGCCTACAATTAAGTTTTTTCTGCCTGTCTCCAGACACTGCACAGTGTCATAGATTGCATGCCAGAAAACCTGCTTCATGAAATCATCCTCATGTATGTTATTAGTGACCTTGATGATTTGAAAGGAGAACCAGATGAATATGTCCAAAAATATCCCCCTGGGAAAATTAAGGTAATAAGAGATACAAAGTGTCAGGGACTGATTCAAGGAAGAATGAGTGTAGCAGTCCACCAACAAACATCCTTGTGTTCCTAGACAGCCATGTGAAGTGAATGTGACGTGTCTGCAGCCCTTGCTGGCTGTCATCTGCATGGACTAGCAGACCATGATGGTCTCAGTGATTGACATCATTGGTGCTAACATGCTAGCCTACAGCTCGACCTCTGTTGTCCATGGAGGATTCAATTGAGGGCTCCACTTCAAATGGGAGCTTGTTCCCCTTTCTGAGCTAGGATGAGCAGAAAAAGCCACAGCACCAATAAAGTCACCAATAATCATGGAATGGTTTTTTTTGTTTTGTTTTGTTTTTGTTTTTGTTTTGAGACGGAGTTTCGCTCTTGTTACCCAGGCTGGAGTGCAATGGCGCAATCTCGGCTCACCGCAACCTCCGCCTCCTGGGTTCAAGCAATTCCCCCGCCTCAGCCTCCCGAGTAGCTGGGATTACAGGCACGCGCCACCATGCCCAGCTAATTTTTTATATTTTTAGTAGAGACGGGGTTTCACCATGTTGACCAGGATGGTCTCGATCTCTTGACCTCATGACCCACCCGCCTCGGCCTCCCAAAGTGCTGGGATTACAGGCTTGAGCCACCGCGCCCGGCCCGAATGGTTTTTATCTGATCAGGAACTTGTCACGATTTCTCTTCTTAGAAGCCTTCACAGGAGACAGTTGTTTTGTTTTGTTTTTTACTTATTTGTTTAAATGTACTAAACAGATACTTTTTAAAAACGGAATCTACATTATGTTTAACTTCAGAAGGTATCATTATAAGACATTTTAAAAAGTATAGTTGCACCTAATTAGGTGAAAGCATGAAGTTATAGGGAAGTTTTAGGGAAATGTAGACATGCATAGAAAGGTGTGTGTGAATGTTCTACGTAGCCAATGAGCCAATAAAATGAGTTTTGCTGGTGGTTAAGGTATTGTCTGCCATCTTCAAATGCACCCAATGCTCTGTTTTGCCATGCTGGGGCTGGAACTTGGCAAACCATAGTTTCTTGTTAAATTCTACCTGTTGGTGAGCTAGAAAGAGACTAGAATAATGGAGTAACAAAGGAGTTGATCCTTCCTGTTTTGCCTCCCATTCTCGAAATATCACTCCAGTCAGAGGTTCCTCACCTGGGCAGCAGCAGTTGGCCCCAGTAACCAGGTTTTTTCCTCCATATTCTCAGCACCAGCCACAGTATGCCTTAGATATATGAATTCTATCTCTGCAGGGTCCCTCCATCAACTGACTGAGGAACTAACACCAACCTCCTCAAAGGTCAGTTCTTCAGGGTCCTTCCTCCAAGTTTCCCTCTGTTCTGGCAACCTCTCTTTCCACTCCCTTGAATGACTCTGCCTAAAGACTCATTACTTTCACACTGCCAAATCCATACATATTATTCAGACCTTATTATACCTTCCTGATATATCTGGCCATTGACCACTCACTTCTCCCAGCTTCAAGCATTATTTCTTTATTAATAATGTTTTGGCTCACGAAGACATTTCTGGAGGGTAAATTAGAAATTTTTTAGAAAGCATTTTGGCAATATGTATACATTCAATAAAGAATTTTTAAGCTTTGTATAAATATTTCCATTGAGTTAATTTCTAGAGGTAGACAACTGTTAAACATAATAAGTGCTATGTGTGTACATTTAGTAAGCGGTACAGCCAGGTAGACTGACTCTAGAATCTGCCAAATTAAATTCTACACCAGGAATTTTCAAACTTGAGTTCCATTAGAATCACCTAAAGGACTTGGTAAAACATAGATTAATGAGCCCCACCCCCCAATTTTTTCACTCACAGAGGTGAGCTAGCAAATTTAAATTTCTAACAAGGTTCCAGGTGATACTGATTACCTTCCCCAACACTACAGTGCCCACATATTTTCTTATTCACTCTTATTCATCTCTAACGACTCACTTCAGCTATCTCCTTCCTTAGGAAACCTTGGCTCCTCTCTCCTCTCACTAGCTAAACTAGATAACCCCATCTAAGGCCTCACAACAATCATGTGCTCCCATGACATTATGTACCTACCAAATACATATCAGTAACTGCTAAAACTGACTCTGTACATATATGTTTCAACTGCTAGCCTTTGAGAACATCAAGGGCAGAGATTGTAACCATTTATCTTTTTTTACACGTCTTTTAAATTTCTTTTTAAAATTTTTATTGTGATAAAATGTACATAAAATCTAACATTTCAACCATTTTTAGTATACAGTGCAGCCACATGAAATACATTCACATTATTATACGACCATCACCATTCCCCAACTCTAGGACATTTTTCATTTTCCTAAGTTGAAACTTTATATCCATTAAACAGTTAACTCCCCAGTTCCCCCTCCTCTCAGCCCCATTCTACTTTCTGTCTCTATTCATTTGTATAGGGACAGTTTCTAGCACATTGCTCCTCAATGGTATTATCTCATTAACTGCAGAACTGAAGAGGGTGAGACTTTAAGTGTCAAACAGAAGATTTAATTAGAAAGAATTTTAAAGAGTTAAAATTGACATAGAAATGATGTATATCATCACTGGAGTAATTACAAACTTGAGTGACACATTAGCTGTTCAAGTTATAAGTATATGGCTGTTTAAAAAGAATATCTTCATTCTCTTTCTACCACAAATAAATATTAGGCACTCATATTTTTAAGTTTATAAAGAAATCAAATATGAAAAAATCGTCTGAAAAAGAAATATAAAACATATCCTTTATGCTTTTCCACTCAAATATCTAGAACTCCTGAACTGAGTTCACTCTTCTTTCAGACTATATGCACACCTATATCTGCAATATCTTTGTAAGGTACATGGATGTGCTTTGGTCAAGAATTAGGCCTGCATGACTCAGCAAGAAGAGTGCAGGCATATAACTCCACCTGTTATCTCAGCCAGATAGCCATAACATGGGAAGGCCATCCCTTGGCCATATGCTGTAGGAGATCGGTCAGAATGGTGGGAAAAATTATAGAAAGTTCCAATCCTTCTTGGAAAGCCAGAAGGTTTTGCAAAAGCCTTGGGAGAGAGTTATGGCTAAAGGTAGCCTATTCCTCTTACCTTGAGCTAATAGCAAAGAGCAGATAACAAGGGAATATAGAGGAGTTTATCTAAATAGCTTGTTTATTCATGTCATCCTAAGACCAACCTGTGCCCATCTGTGCACATGACAGCTCTCTACTTGGGGGGTCAGCAACATTAATTACCCACAAACGGTGCTTATGCAGAATCTTTGTCATTAAACCTATACTAATTAAATACAAGAGTTGCTGGCTTACTGGGGCCACAGCACTCCCCTAGGGATCAATAAACCATGAGTCCTCTAGCCATGCAACCAGGTAAAAAGCCTATGTTTGCTTATGTCTTTCATCCATCATTGGGCCAGAGTCTGCCAGCCAGACTCAAAAGTATGCCACTATTGTCTGTAAAAGGTATAATTACCCTGCTGACACTGTACATGTGCTCATGTACAGGTTCTCTTGTGCCCAGAGACAGAAAGAGAGTACCAGGACTGTCAGTCTTGCAGATAGACAAGAGGGGAACCAGGGCATAACTCAGCATGGCACATCATGGGAACAGCATGGTTCACGTTTGTGTCCAGAGAGGGAAAAAGAATTAAGTTGCTGACCCTGAAGGCACGGGAGAATCAGCTGTGCAGCTGCATGTGGGAGTGGCTGGCCCAAGCAGTCAAAACAGAGCAGACAGTGAGAAAAAGCTGATGTAAGAGAGCTGCTAATGAGAGACCTAGTCTGAGTAAGCTGCTGATGAGAGAGATGCTGAATAAAACTACACTTCACCTGCTTATGCCCCACCACCCCCCAAGTATTCTTTCAGCTATCACCCATGAACCCACTCCCTTCAGACCTCAGCAGGGCTGGGACCTGAACTTGAACCTAGCATTTGGTGTACTCATGGACCTGACAACTGTGGTCCTAAACCTGACAGTCTTGCTACCTGAATCAACAGGAAGAGAAAAGAGGAAACCCAATGGAACAGAATGCTATATTAAAAAATAAAACATATAAAAGGAAAAGTAGGGATGCAAGAGGTTTATAATCTACTTCTGCATATGGAAGCTCTTTTAAAAAAATTGTGTAGTAAAAATGTCCAAATTAATTATTTGGTACTTACAGAACATATAAAAGATGGACCTTATGGTTATAATTCTTAAATTGATTCTTAAATAATGACTCCACATTACAGATGAATAATTTCAAGTCTCCTTTTAGCCAGCACTGTATGTTCCAGTTTGCACCTGAATTTAAAAAAAAACTACATGAAATCTCAAAAACAGTCTGAAGAACTCAGTTGTTCAGTGAAAGACAAGAGCTAAATCAAATTTACCAGTGTTCTGATACCACTTCCACTGCCTATTGAGAGAAAAAGAACAGGCCTTAACTAGGAGCATGTGCTTGTCTATCAGAACCTTTGGCCCTCAGTTTCCTTTTTTCTAAAGTAATAGAATTAAATTCAATTATTGTTCCTCAAACTTTTCTTTAATTTCAAACCACTTAGGTCGGACAAAAAACCTCAAAACTCATCTAGCTCAGTTCTCACGTTTTCTTTTTTTTTTTTTTTGAGACCGGGGTCTCACTCTGTTGCTCAGGCTGGAGTGCAGTGGTATGATCATGGCTCACTGCAACGTCAATCTCTCAAGCGATCCTCCCACCTCAGTCTCCTAAGTAAATGGGATTACAGGCACACACCACCATGCCCAGCTAATTTTTTGGGGGGGCAGGGGGGTTATTTTTAGTAGAGATGGAGTTTAGTCTTGTTGTCCAGGCGGTCTCTAACTCCTGAGCTCAAGCGATCTGCCCACCTAGGCCTCCTAAAATGCTAGGATTACAAGCATGAGCCACTGCACCCAGCCATTTTTTTTTTCAAATCAGACAGGTAATGATCTAACATCATAACAAGGTCTGAGGGAGGCACATCTCACACATATATGTGAAAACCCAGTCATGATGGTTTTGAGGCAGGAAAAGATATTCCTGTGTTTTCATACCAGAAGTCTCTTTATGTGGATGAGTCCATTGACTCCACTCTTCCTAGGTTTTCCAAAAGACTTGGAATAATTTTGTTGTTTATATTTCCAGATGCAGAATTTTTAGTTACACTAGCTACATTCAGTATGCATTATACTTAAACAATAAAAAAGCATTTTTTTCTTTTCTTTCTTTCTTTGTTTTTCCAACTTTTATTCTCAGTTCAGGGTGCATGGGCCGGATGCGCAGGTCCGTTAAATAGGTAAATGTGGGCCATAGCATATAGCAGTTTGCTGCACAGACCATCACATTCCCTAGGTGTTAAGCACAGCATCCATCAGCTATTGTTTCTGAAAAACCCAATTTTAAAATGTATACTCTTTCAGAGAGATTCCTTGCCTGAAGAAATATTATTATTCATGAATATTTTAAAATTTAACTAATTCAACAATATTATCAGTTGATATTTTATCTATTTAACAAAAATAAGGTGTGTTTTGCTATTTCAAAGCAAATTTAGAAGACTACAAGAAATGTAGTACTTAAAAGTAAAATAGTTCCCTCATCAGATTTTTATGGGATACAAGATAATTGGGGAATTATTTATTAGTTTGGTCATATAATGAATCCCAATTTTATTATCAATATAAAAATACTAATGTATATTAAAAATCACAGCCATAAGACAGCTATTTCATACAGGTGTCAAAGAATTAAAACTCATTGTTCAATACATTTTAAAAAATAGCTAATGCTTGGAACATGAAAATACTTACCTATTGGTTGAAAACCTAAAGAATTTACTGTTGAAAAAAATGTCTTTCCTTCAATGTTGTCTGCACATAATGAGGAGTTTATATCTTGCTCACTCCGAAAGCAACAGTGGAAAGTTGTTTTGGATAAGTTAGAAAAGTGGGTTCCACTTGAATTAAACTTAACTTCAACAGCTTTCTCATAATGTCCATTCAAATCTGAAGTATTCTTTGAGAGTCCAGCAGGCAAACGGAAGTAGTCATAAGTTTTATTTGGTGGCATGCAAGACAACTTAAATCTCCAAGGAGTGATTGGATATGACAAGTTAGATGCAGTTATGACATAAATAAATTCTGTTAGGATATGAAAAAAACACATAGAAAACAAGTAATCATTTTGACTAGGACATGAATAGGAAGTACCTGAGATTAAACCAAGTAGTGCTCAATAATTATTTAACTTTCTAAGTCCTCAATTGGTGCCTAATCAATAACTCTGTGCTTCCATTGTACAATGTGTTATATTCAAGAGGATGCATTCATTTATAAAAATAACTCCCTTTTCTGGCATCTCTTTTCTTTTTGGAAATTCATACTTCATGTTTTCTCTTTAATCTGACATCTTAAATTTATGCTTTAATGAAAGGAAACAAAAGCTAAATATTTTATTTTTCTTTTCTAAAACATATTATTCTAGCTTCCAGTATAAATGATAAATATAATATCCAGTATAAATGATAAATATCTGGATGTGCAATTATACAGACAATCATTAAAGTACTATTTTAATATTTATTTAAGAAAGTAGCATCAAAATATTAGCACTGCTTTTGCTGAGCATTTTTTAGAAAGAATTTGTCTTCAACATGATGATAGCTTGACGATCTCCTGAATTTTTTCATGATTCACCAAATTCAAAACATCATATAAGACATGCCCTTAGCATATTACACAAGAAATGATGCACAACAATAAACTTCTTGTGGAAAATGCTTACTGCTGATTAAACTATCACTTTTTAAATGTAAAAATTAAGAACAGTTACATAATCCTGTACCAAAAAATCCACAAAAGTTAAACTTTTTTTGGTGGTGGGGGACAGTGTCTCGCTCTTGCCACCCAGGCTGGAGTGCAGTGGTGCAATCTTGGCTCACTGCAACCTCTGCCTCCCGGGTTCAAGCAATTCTCCTGCCTCAGCCTCCTGAGTAGCTGGGATTACAGGTGTCCACCACCACACCAGCTTTTTACTTTTAGTAAAGACGGGTTTCACTATTTTGGCCAGGCTGGTCTCAAACTTCTGACCTCAGGTGATCCACCTGCCTTGGCCTCCCAAAGTGCTGGGATTACAGGTGTGAGCCACCATTCCCGGCCAAACTTATTTTTAAATAATTCTTTTAAAATAAAATAATTCTCCATAAATTTTTTTCAATAAGTTACCCAAATGATGCAACAATTATGTTGGCTTATACAGACACTAATGCAGAATAGGAATTCTGATAATCTTATATGGATTTGTATGAAAAGAGAATTTTGAAGTTATGGTAAATGTAATAATGTAAGGAAATAGAAGTAACCCTGATGTTCATCAGTAGGTGAATGGGTAAAATGTGGTACATCCAGACAATTAAATATTATTCAGTGATAAAAAGAAATAAGATATCAAGTCACAAAAAGACATGGAGGTTCCAGCACTCTTCCAGAACTATGCATCCAACAAAGGACTAATATCCAAAATTTAGAAGGAACTCAAACAATTTAACAAGAAGAAAACAAATAACCCCATTTAAAAGAAGGCAAAGGAAATGAGCAGACATTTCTCAAAAGAAGATATACAAGCAGCCAATAAACATGAAAAGTGCCCAATATCACTATGAAAAACAATGTGTAGATTTCTGAAAGAAGTAAAAGTAGAACTATCATTCAATCCAGCAATCCCACTACTAAGTACCTACTCAAAGGAAAAGAAATCGTTATAACAAAAAGGCATATGTTTGTCACAGCACTATTCACAATAGCAAAGTCATGGAATCAACCTAAGTGTCCCTCAGGGAATGACTGTATTAAAAACAAGTGTGGAATATTCACACACATAAGCATGCAGATACACACAGACACACACACACACACACCCCATACCACACTATGGAATACTATGCAGCCATAAAAAAGAATGAAATCATATATTTTGCAACAATATGGATGGAGCTAGAGGCCATTATCCTAAGTGAAATAACTCAGAAACAGAAAATCAAATACCACATGTTCTCACTCATAGGAGCTAAGCAATGCATACACATGGACATACAGAGGGGAACAATAGACACTGGGGACTATTATGTGAGGGGTGAAAAATTATATATCATGCCCAGTGTTCACTATTCAGGTGATGCAGACACTACACAATACATCCACATAACAAAACCATACTTTTAACCCCTGAATCTATAAAAATAAAAATAAAAATTTAAAGAGAGAAAAGACATGAAGGAAACATAAATGTATATTACTAAGTGAAAGAAACCAATATGAAAAGGCTACATACTATATTGTTCCTTTATAGTGAAAGAAACCAATATGAAAAGGCACAACTATGGAAACAATAAAAAGATTATCCGTTCCCAGGAGTTAGGGAGAAGGGAAGGATGAATAGGCGGGCCATAAAGGATGGGAAGGGCAGTGAAATTCTTCTGTATGACTCTACAGTAGCAGATAAAAGACACTATATGTACATTTGCCATCATTCGCACAATATACAACAAAAGTGAACTGCAATGTAAATGATGGACTTCGAGTGATGCTGTGTCAATGTAGGTTTATCAATTGTGACAAGTGTACCACTCTGAGGGGGGACAGTTGGTAACAGAGGGGTATGCATGTATGGAGTAGGAAGTCTATGGAAAAATCTCTGTACCTTTCTCTCAATTTTGGTGTAAACCTAAAACTGCTCTAAAAAATAAAGGCTGTTTAAAAATGGAAGAAAATAAAAACATTTTAATCAATCCACAAATTTATTTTTTATTACAAAAGCAGTATCTGTGAAAATATTCAAATGATACATAAGTAATGACTATTAATAGTTTAGTTACTAAATATTTCTATAAATATAAATTAATATAAATATGTATAGATGCAAAAATTGAGGCCAAAGTGATTAATGTAACAAATATGACTATGGCCATACTGAAGACAATTAGGTATCACAACATTACCAAAAATAATTCCGTATTACAATTACGTTCCTTTGGACTTCACTCCTTCTAACATGTTTCTAAAATCAGAACACCTGAAGAAAACAGAATAGTTTTTTGAAGGGAAGACACTTACAATACCAAGAATATGTAATATTACTAATTTACAGCATTATGTAATCTAGGTCTACATGAAGGATTCAGTTGCTTGAAATAAATTAGCCTAAAATCGTTACAGAAGTATTTAAATGTAAAATGTAATAATGAACTTCAAAAACATAGCAACTATTGATGCAGACTCAAAGGAAAAGATGAGTCCACTTTATCCACCTTCATCCTTTTCAAATGATATTTCTTTCCCTCAAAATGAATCCTAAACCGTAAAGAGGGTCTAGAATTTTCACCCAAAGGCATATCTTATTAGGTAACAATGTCCCAGGATTTCTTCTGATTCACAAACTTGGTCAAACCAAAACCTTTCAGAAAGCCAATGTAAAACACTAGAGTCTAACAAAAATTAGATTGAGAATTATAAAAAAGAATGAATAGTTCCCTTAAATATATCTAATAAAAATAGAGAATATGAAAAAAGAATGAGTTATTTCTCTTTGATAGTCCCTTGTGGCATAATTTTTTGGAAATCTGTAACAGTGGAGCTGAGTTATTTTCTGGAAGTATACAGATGGCTGCAATGAGAAAGAAGTATGTACAACAAGGAAGACCTATAGGGCAGCTTAGAAGGGCTTCCTTAGATTGGAGTAGCCAAGGAGATGCTCGGAACCAGCTGACACACAGGTAACAGTTGCCAGATAAAATTGCCACAACATAAGTTTCGTTAAAGAAAGCTAGATAAACAGTTGCCAAATCACATGAGTTTTGTTAAAGATAACCTAACTTTGATTTCAAAAACTTGGATCGCAATCTAACTTAGATGATTTGGTTTAAGAAAATCAGAATGCTACCAGAATGTGGTAAGTAACATATGAGAATGGTATGCTCAAAACTTATTGGCAATGTATCAGCCAGGCGTGGTGGCTCACGCCTGTAGTCCCAGCTCTTTGGGAGGCCAAGGTGGGCGGATCACTTGAGGACGGGAGTTGGAGACCAGCCTGGCATACATGATGAAACCCTGTCTCTACCAAAACAAAACAAAATATTAGCCAGGACGGGTGGTATACACCTGTAGTCCCAGCTACTCGGGAGGCAGGAGAATCACTTGAGTCTGGGAGGCAGAGGTTACATTAAGCTGAGATTGCAGCACTGCACTCCAGCATGGATGACAGAGTGAGACTCCATCTCAGAAAAAAAGTTATCGGCAATGTATGACTAATTTTAAGCAGAAGACTGAAATAGTTCATAACAGTTAAAAACATAAGATACTGAAGGAACATCTGAAACTTTTGAGGATATTCCTGCAGTGAGAAGGAGGAAGGACTAGTATACATTTCATTTCTTTTTTTGTTTTGTTTTTTTCATTATACTTTAAGTTCTGGGGTACGTGTACAGATCATGCAGGTTTCTTACACAGGTATACACGTGCCATGGTGATGGTTTGTTGCATCTATTGCCCCATCATCTGCATTAGGTATTTCTCCTAACACTATCCCTCCCCAATCCCCCTCAATGCTGTTCCTCCCCTAGCCCGCCACCCTCCAACAGACTCCAGTGTGTGATGTTCCCCTCCCTGTGTCCATGTGTTCTCGTTGTTCAACACCCACTTATGAGTGAGAACATGTGGTGTCTGGTTTTCTGTTCTTGTGTCAGTTTGCTGAGAATGATGGTTTCCAGTTTCATCCATGTTACTGCAAATGACATGAACTCAGCCTTTTTTATGGCTGCATAGTATTCCAGAGTGTATATGTGCCACATTTTCTTCATCCAGTCTATCATTGATGAGCATTTGGGTTGATTCCAAGTCTTTGCTATTGTGAACAGTACCACAATAAACATACATGTGCATGTGTGTTTATAATAGAATGATTTATAATCCTTTGGATATATATCCAGTAATGGGATTGCTGGGTCAAATGGTATTTCTATTTCTAGATCCTTGAAGTATTGCCACACTGTCTTCCACAATGGCTGAATTAATTTACACTCCCACCAACAGTGTAAAAGTGTTCCTATTTCTCCACATCCTCTCCAGCATGTTTTCTCCCGATTTTT